TTAAATAGACCAAAGCACCATAACCAGTGAGGATAAGCACGAGACAGCGCCATATTTAAAGTCTTAAATGCAAGCTAAACATGTGGAAGATACATTGATCAGAAAAACGGTTACACGTTGCACATTATCTACAAGTTACTGTAAATGTACCGCTGTTTTAACTTGTGAAAAGTTCCGAAATTTTACAGTAGCTTACCGAAGTAGCCAGGAGAATCCAGCTCCACTCTGTCCCAACACTGCCAACTGATTCCAAGCAGGGAAAACTGACGCACCAGTCTTGCGTAGTGCCCCGCCCCTCGTCGCACGTTTTTATGTTGATTGGCCCAATTAACAGGTGCGTTGCGTAGACGACGCGGAACTGAACTCAGTCTGGAGACAGACTAGGCAAATAGTAATTTCTAAGCTTGAAATGATTTTACTTTTAAAGTAGGTAATTCTGCTTCTGTAAAATTATGAAACTTTGAACACTTGTTCATACATATAGGTACTTCATGCACGGTGAATTTTAGACCTCTAGTTCGTATGGCTCGGCTGTCACGCCCCCTCATGTTTATGTATAAATTGTGGAATTAGTAATGAACAGTAGGGAATCCGTCATGTGTATGTAGGAGATGCAGCCTCAGCAACAAGCAGTAGGGGATCCATACATTAGAAACAAAATATAAATATATATATATATATATATACATACATATATATATATATATATCCTTGTGTGATGTTATAACAAGAACTTTAATTATATATCTTTTTAGCTTTACCTATGTATATATTCAACATAATATATTGGTGTGACTTACTTTAAGCCTCGCCAGTTGAGGCGGGCTAAGGTTCAATGTCGGCTGAAATATGAAGCCCCCCTCAGGTTACCCGCCACATTAGCGCTTAAAAGCGATTTAAAATGTAAAACTACATGGCCCCCCAAACTTGTTCTGTATGTGCTGCTTTCTTGAAACTTGGCACGTCAATTCATACTTATATCTAGTATGAGCACGCCGAATTTCAGAGCCCTAG